TTAATGAATGTTTTAAAAATATATTGTTCACTCACTGTAAGATGTTACTAGATCTAACTCACGTTAGAAAACATTAAGTCATTGTACAGTAAAGTCTATACAGGAGATAACATTTGACTACTTTTATTTAATCCAAACTGTGTTCATATTTAAATTTTAAAGGGCTTTTAAAACCTGCTAGATATATTCAGCCAAGAATTACAACTAACTAACTAAAAAAAAAAACTTTTTCTGATGGACTGATGTGACATAAACACTGTTAACCATACATTTGTACATTCTCTACCACGCATATTTTGGTTACACAGTTAATTTAAAAGCCTCTGGTGTGTAAAAATAGTAAATACCATTATGTCCTCCTGTTTTTTACAGTAATAAAAGTTATAGGAGCATTAAATAGTTAACAAAGAAATCATTTTGAACAAAATTCATTGTAATGCTCATTATATTAGCGTTAGCCACGCTTATGCTAACGATTAACTACGTAGACACTAATGGCGATGTTTATTTCAATCCGAAATTAAAATATGGAATAATATTCATAACAGAAGCTCTAAATTTTAAAAATGTAATTGAAACTTACCTGCTTGAACTTGATCGGGGTGTTTTGTTAGTTTGATCCGTTTCCTCCTCTTGAGGTCGCCACTGCTTTTAAGAAGAGGTTGCCAGGTTTAAACAACAAAACCCGCCCAATCACGTTTCGAGGGGGGTCCCCCGTTAAAAATCGCATTCCGAGGATAAAATATGCAAGTTTTGGCGGGGTTCCCCTGGTAAAATTCGCATTCCAGGGGCTAAATATCACGTTAGTGGGGTCGGTTTTCAACCCGCGGACATGAAAAACAAGCCGCGGCGACAGTGTTAAAGCAGCCCAATTCCGTGGGAAAACCGCGGACTTGGCAACAATGGAAGACGATAGCTTTCGGATAGCGCATCAAGAACCGGGTTGACCGGGTACTCTGTACCACCGGTACTTAAGAAAACCTGGTACCGTAACGTTTTCATTTTTTTAGTACCGATTTGGTACCGAAATACCGGGTCTTTTGACAACACTACAATATAGGGTCCTTTCCCACATAATAGTGTATGGATGGGCACAGACTCCAACTGTTTTTCTTTTTAGCTTCAGACTATGATTCCATCAAGTTGAAGGACAACATGTTTTATATTTTAAGCCAATTTTAGTACATATTTTCATTTGTCATGTGTCTCCTAGAAATGAGTTTACATTTTCTGAAAGACTTAAAGGGGAGGTCTAATGCCATTTCATGCATTCTTCTTACTGTTAAAGAGTTGGATTCTCATGCTAAACATGGCCAACTTTTCAAATAACGAGTGCAAGTGTGTTTTTGTTCCCAGCATTTTGGTGACAAATGTTTCTTAAATTAAAGTCAAAGTTTTTGTTCCCGTTTATTTATGTCGATGTCACAGCTTGCAGACGATCGTTACGCAAAGCTGTGTTTGCTCGTGACTATTTAGCTCCACCCATGGCATGCTTCAAGGAGCTCGACTGTTTTCGGAGAGAAGCGTAAATCTGTATCTGTCTTTTATAAATCTGATAAAATTAAAGACTCTTCTGTGATATGAAGAATGCAATACTACTCTATAGTAGGGGTCGACCGATATGTGTTTTTCAGGGCCGATACCGATTATTACAGATCAGGTAGACCGATAACCGATATTTTGAACCTATATATATATATGTATGTCTGGTGTAAAAATGAAAATTGTCAAAATTAAGAATAACAAGGGCTCTGACAAAAACTGCCCTCACTGGTGTTGGTTGTGTAGTACTCCCACACTGCACTTCTTACTCTTGTCTTCCTCTGTGCATCCAACTACAATAAGGGGAATATAAAGAGAGAGTTAAAAGTGGGGCAACTGTATACTTCACGATTAAGCTTATGAATACTGTACTACAGCTAAACGGCTTGGGGAAATGTAAGTATTTGACTTCAATAATTTACATGTTAGAAATGTATGTGTAATAGCATAACCTCTCATAATTCCTCATTAATTATTTTCTGATGGCTAAAACATAACCTGCAATAGTAGAGGTGACTATTCAATTCATCATCTAATGCACATCAATGGATTAACTTTATTATATACATTTGTTAAAAAATGTATATAATAAGTGTAAATAATTTAATTGTCTTCATATCTATATTGTAGAAGTTGTTAAGAACTATTTTCATGAAACTATAACACTAATAGCCTTTTACAGGCACACTTAGTTCAATAGCCTATTGAAATGTCTTGGCCTATGTGATTTTTCAAAAAAATTAAAGTTAGTTTTAATTTACAGTGCAAATGAAGGCATAAATCAAATTAATTTATCTTCTAATCAAATAAGAGTTAAACTCTTTATTTTTTTGGCAAACAAAGGGTTTACTATTAAAATTAAAACATGGAAGAAATAGCGTATTGTGTGATTATTCTTTTAAACAAAAGTTGTAATAATTGTTGTAGTAGTATTATGTATATCATACTGCCCCACAGTAATATATTTCTGATAATTTCTTTAAGCTAACCCAAACTTATATTTTGACGGGTTGTCATGAGGAACTTTTAAGTTTCTGTAGCCTATGTAAGTGTTTCCCATACATTGATTTATTTGTGGCGGCCCGCCACAATTTCAAAACTGACCGCCACAAATAGATTTTCCAAAAGGCTTTGACTTCCTTGAATAAACATGAGCACTGCACGTTTCAAAATTGAAACCCGGTGCAGGTGTTTTTATATCACTGTATTTCTGAAAGAAACCGACTGTCTTCAGAAAATTTTGCATGTCATTTTCATTTCTTCTTTTATGTAATATCTGATAAAGCACCGTTTGTGAGCAGAGCGCTGCTTTGTGTACAGTGTTACCGGGGAAACCTTGATCTCTACCACTTCAACAGCGCCTCCTGCTGCCAGAGATTTAATTTGCATATACATGCCGCCACAAACGAGTGTAAGTCTGTAGGAAACAGTTTTACTCAAATGATCATGAAGTGACTCTCAGAGGGAGTCAGAGCAGTTCTGGAGATGTTGTTCATGTATTTATGTCCTCATGTAGTGAGACGACAGTAGCTGAAATCACCGCGAGCGTCGCACACTTTGTATGTGTACAAAACAAAACCGCGCGTCTGTGCCATTTACATACACAGAAACAAGCAGAACATGCAGGATTAATATTTAAATAGTATTTTTGTGGCTTAATATTTACAGGTACTAGTCCATATCGGAACTCTATTTAAGTGTACTGACCTACTTTTGATTAATTCATCCAAACTTTGACAAATTTCGCGTCATACAGTAAATTCCATTTAAATGACTGGATTCTGCGATTCCGTCCACATTTTGTGCATCGCGGAAATCATAGATAATATTGAGGTGTTTCGCAACTTCAGTGTAACGTTAGTGGATTATGATTTACTGCTGCTGCCTTACCTTTGAGAGACAACTGGTGCGTGATCACTGAAGCAGCTGCAGTTAGCAAGTGCTTTCGGAGTGAGAGTGAATTCCACATTGATTGGTCGGACTCATGACTCCCAACAAATCAGATGGGCATGAGTGGTGTGTTCTCATCAAAGCCAAATAGCGTGTTTCAAAATTAAGTTATTTTATCGGCGAATCAGTTTTGAAAATGACCGATAATCATAATAATGCTTAATATCGGTGCAGATAATCGGTCGACCCCTACTCTATAGGTGCTCTCGATTAGGGCTGGGCAAAAAATCTAATGCGATATTCATGCGAATCTCGTTAGTAGTAAATCTCCAGCAGGTGCTTTCAGATGGAGCGGCATTTACTACACACAGCCGTAGATCACTGTAGCTGTAGCTTGTGTAGTGTAGTCCAGCCTTTAGTATTCTTTAGTGTTTTTTTTCTACTTTTTCTGTTTGGCTGTTAAGTGTCAGACTTTTATTTTGACAGCACTGAGAACCTTTTGCAGCTATATGATATTCACTGTGTACTGTATGTTACAGTATGTCGTTGAGAAAATTTGCGCACTGTAACCAGATTACAGTGTTTACTTGTGCTTTTCATCACTTTTTTTATTTGCAGAATCGGGAAATTGCTTTCTAAAGTATAAATCTGTTTATTTTACCAATTTAAGTTCAAAATATTAAAAAAATTATTCATTTTCAAATTATTTCTAAATATTTTAATGTAAATATGATGGAAAATAAATATACATTTAATTGCATGCATTTACTATCTTTAAATAGTGCGATATCATAAGGGGCTTTTGCACCACAAGAACGTTTTTGCGGAAGTACCCGCAAAACCAGAATTTCCTGTCTTACTCCTTTCTCGAAATGGTCCCTTATTGGTGTAATGATTCTTGTGCTGTTCATGAAGAGAAGGATCTACTTATGTAGTGGTTGTGATTTTCTTTTTGTCCAGGACTTCCTCCTAGTGGCAGCTGGCAGGACCTTAAGGATCACATGCGTGAAGCAGGTGATGTATGTTATGCTGACGTTTTCCGGGACGGCACCGGCGTTGTGGAGTTTGTGCGCAAAGAAGACATGACCTACGCCGTTCGAAAGCTGGATAACACTAAGTTCCGGTCACATGAGGTAGGTGTGAGTTTGTAAACATAGACCGCCATTGGACAGGACAGGGCATAGCTTAAGGATTTGGGAATATCAAGGTAAGCTTGATGTCAGAGACCCATGATGGAGCCACATGGACTAGGAGGATCCATGGAATGGCTCTTTTGAATGTAAGTGATTTTATCAGCGGGCCACATTTGGAAGGATGTTTAATTTGGTGTAGCGCTAAATCTTAAAAGCAAAAAACAAAATCTGTTTTAGATTCGCCAAGTGAGTCATTATTTAGGAGATTATAACCTGAGATCTGGTAGTTCGTCGTTAGAAAGTGTCCCATTATGTTCCTCAGGGGGAGACGGCTTACATTCGCGTAAAGGTGGATGGCCCGCGCAGCCCCAGTTATGGGCGTTCGCCCTCTCGCAGCCGCAGCAGGAGTCGCAGCCGGAGCAACAGCCGCAGTCGCAGCTACTCCCCACGCCGCAGCCGAGGATCACCACGTTACTCGCCCCGCCACAGCCGCTCCCGTTCCCGCACCTAAACATCCACATCCCAGCTAGTTGGCTGGCCACAATCATATACACCCTGTGTCGCCCTCTATTGGACCCACTGTTGTACTTCATTGTTCTCTTGACTTGTTTCGTCTCTCCACTTTCCCCAGGTTGCTTTCTCTCATTTTTGGTTTGTTTTATTTTTTTTAGGGACTGTCATTCTGCTAATGACATCTACGTGTAGCTAAGTAGATGTTCTCCTTTCTCTTCTTTCTTTCCCGTCAATCCTCTTTTTTTTATTTTTGTTTGTTGTCTCCTATCCCATGACCCTGTTGTGTCTTTGTCTTGCATTCCCATTTTAACTGGATCTTCATACTCATCCCTTGTGACACAAGGAACATGTTGAAATGCTTTAAATAGTTGTATTAATTAATTAATACTGTTTTATTTTGTTAATGATGCTTCATTACGGGCTTTTTCTGGTGTGGGATTATTTTTCCGTTGAAAAACTGTTCTACTTTTACCTTTTCATGTCTTTCTATAGACAACAGAAGAGCAGGATTAAAGAAAGCTTTGGAATAAAGGATTTTGAAGCACAGTTCATTCATATTAGGATATTTGGAGGAGCAGGAGCAGGCATTTCATTTAAGGAGGCAATGGTATGACGGCAAGCAGTCACCTTCAAAAAGGCAGTTGTTGTTTTTCTACAGACTTCCAGTACTCTGGATTTTCTTAGTTCAGTAACACATTAGTTTTGCTTTGCCATTCTTCCTCCCTTCACAACACTCCCCTTCCCCGTTTAATTTACCTTTTCTCACTGGTCATTGCTGCTAAGCATGCATGTGTACTGTCTGGATGTTGCGATGCTTGTGCATACATTAAGACAGCATTGTTTTTTGGGGGGGGGTGTTTCATTTTTAAATACAAATTTTTTTTGCCTGTTGTCCAAAATGTGCTGGGATTTGGCCACTCATGTAGAGTTTGCATTAGACAAGATAAAGGCTTGCCATGTGCAGTTGTTCTCATGTAAATTGTGTATTTGTCAAGAGGAAGTGTCTTTTTTTCTAGGTTAGATTTGCTTGTTTTTCCAATGAATAAGCACAATTTAATGTGTTTAGGTGGTGCTCTAAATTTCTTCGAGAGCATATCAGTCTGGTATCCTTTTTGTCATTTACACAGGAAAAAAAAGAAAGAAAAAAAACGCTCCTATGATCAGTTTATAGAAGCTTTCAATGATAGAAGCTCTTCATTTAGCTGTGATTCTAACTTGTTACCTCCCTCTCTTTGATTTTGCTAGTATTCAAAGGTTTGGATTGGAGGAGGGGCTCACTGTGTCCCGATCCTTGGAGCCGGATCATTGGATCAGTTCAGGATCAGGAGCAGGATTAGGATTAGGATAAGGATGGATACATACATGGAGCGGGATCAATTTACCGGGAACGGGAACCATAGGAGAGGATCCCAACCCCAGCCCCGCATCCGCCCCACCAAACCACAACGTAATTGGCTTCTCTAGAACCAAATTCATTTTTTCATTTTCCGTGGAGCCCCATTGATGCGCGCAGAAGGGATCCAGGTGCCTCTTTTATTTTTGCGAGATTTGTTTTTTGGTATAAAAAGAAGCAGAGCAAGGAACCAGAAGGCTGGATGGAATCGGCATGAGGAGCGTGGTAAATAGGGGCGAATTCGTGGGAGGGTGGGATAATAGGCAAATTTTCAGGGGGATGTTGTAGTTTATTTAGGGTTTCAAAAATCACTTTTCAAATAACATTTGTTGGCATTTGCTGTGTTGGCAGTGGTGTTTCTTTCTCCACATAATTGGCTACTTTATATTTCTAGATTGTAGTGTGTACTGTCTGGATGTTGCGATGCTTGTGCATACATTAAGACAGCATTGTTTTTTGGGGGGGGGTGTTTCATTTTTAAATACAAATTTTTTTTGCCTGTTGTCCAAAATGTGCTGGGATTTGGCCACTCATGTAGAGTTTGCATTAGACAAGATAAAGGCTTGCCATGTGCAGTTGTTCTCATGTAAATTGTGTATTTGTCGAGAAGAAGTGTCTCTTTTTTTTTCTAGGTTAGATTTGCTTGTTTTTCTAATGAATAAGCACAATTTAATGTGTTTAGGTGGTGCTCTAAATTTCTTCGAGAGCATATCAGTCTGGTATCCTTTTTGTCATTTACACAGGAAAAAAAAGAAAGAAAAAAAACGCTCCTATGATCAGTTTATAGAAGCTTTCAATGATAGAAGCTCTTCATTTAGCTGTGATTCTAACTTGTTACCTCCCTCTCTTTGGTTTTGCTGGTATTTAAAGGTTTGGATTGGAGGAGGGGCTCACTGTGTCCCGATCCTTGGAGCCGGATCATTGGATCAGTTCAGGATCAGGAGCAGGATTAGGATTAGGATAAGGATGGATACATACATGGAGCGGGATCAATTTACCGGGAACGGGAACCATAGGAGAGGATCCCAACCCCAGCCCCGCATCCCCCCCCACCAAACCACAATTAAAGGATACTTGACGTCGTAATTGGCTTCTCTAAAACCAAATTAATTTTTTCTTTTTCCGTGGAGCCCCATTGATGCGCGCAGAAGGGATCCAGTTGCCTCTCGTTTTTGTGAGATTTGTTTTTTGGTATAAAAAGAAGCAGAGCAAGGAACCAGAAGGCTGGATCAGGTGCTTTGGATGGAATCAGCATGAGGAACGTGGTAAATAGGGGCGAATTCGTGGGAGGGTGGGATAATAGGCAAATTTTCAGGGGGATGTTGTAGTTTATTTAGGGTTTCAAAAATTACCTTTCAAATAACATTTGTTGGCATTTGCTGTGTTGGCAGTGGTGTTTCTTTCTCCACATAATTGGCTACTTTATATTTCTAGATTGTAGTGTATTGATTTTTCTGTCTTTCACCCCTTCTTTAAATAAAGATTGAATGTTCAATTAAAATATTGTTTTCTTTGCTTCATTTGCTGACTGGCTGCAGCTGTTTTGAATGCCGAATTCAGTCAAATCAAATGTCATTACTGTCGTATCGCATTCAATGAAATGTTTTTAAAATTATATATGGACTAATATGAGCTGTTATATGGGCTCAATGCATGCTTTGAAAATATATATTATAAATAAAATATATAATATACACCATTCAAAAAGAGGTCAGTAAGGGTCAAAGGGTTTGAAAGAAATCTGGCTGCATTTATTTGATCAAAAATACAGTAAAAACAGTAAATCTACCATTTGAAAGAACTGCTTTCTATTTGAATATATTTAAATGGTATTTTTCTTGTCATGCGCTGCATGACTCCAGCTTTCATGTGTCTACATGATCCTTCAGAAATCATGCTGATTGCAGCTCAAGAAACATTTCGTATTATTATAGCTGTTATAGCTGAAAATGGTTATGCCACTCAGTAATTGTGGAGGTGTTTTCATTTTTCAATGAACAGAAAGATTGAAATATGAAATGAAAAACAGAAATGTGAATTATTAGAAATTATTTAAAGTAGAAATCTTAACATTATTATTGTCTTTGCTGTCATTAGAATTTTTTGTATTGCACATGTACAGTGCAAGACAGGGAACATAATATCATAAATCACACAACACTGACACAAAAAATAAAAGCAAGATTTGAAATGTATGGACTCATGACCAAAACAAATATAAAACAGGACAGCACTGAAACTGTAACTATTTTGATGAGGAGCATACGTTTCCCATCGCACGTATTTGAAACCATACTTTGAAATATTCTCACAAAAACGAAGAAATATAGTAAAGGAGGATTTACATTTCTTCCATTTACATGTCATGTGAAAATGTGATATTGACCCACCAAAATTACCATGTTTAGTCCGAAAACACGGAATTCAATATATTCTTATAAAAAAGGTAATATCAGTTTTCACTGAGAGTTAACTGAAAACATCCACCCAAAATTTAGAGCAGTTCACAGCAGTTAAAGGTGTTCAAGAGTTCCAGGAAAGGAAGAACAAACTGAAATCTCTTCTGTAAAAATGAATGTTCATTCACTTATTGTCAAATAATTTACAGTAAAAAAAGCAATGAATGAATGAATTTCTTAAAATCGTAATAACCCCAAACATTTGAATGGTAGCCTACTGTAAATATAATACTAGTCCTCATTACAAACACAAAATAATAATCAACTTTAATAATTAGTGAAGACGATCAGACTACATTTAATAGGGGCTGGTAAGGGGCCTGGATAAAAGGGGGGGGCGGGGGATTTAAGGTAGTTATCATAATTTTTAGTAAACAATAAGTTACATATAAACTTGACCTGTCATATAGTGTGGTAAACAATTCTAGTAATGCCTCACAGGAATCAATCAGTGCTGCCAACTAATTTTCAGGGGAAGTTGCTAAATGACGTTGTGATGTCATTGCGTGATGACGACGCAAAATTGTGTCACTACATTAAAAAAATATATATTTTTATATGTTAATTTAGATTTGTTCGTAAAATAATATAAATGCATAATATAATGTTAAAATAGAAATAACATTTTTTATACACAACATTGAATTATTGAACACTTATACACATTTTTGAACGATTACAACTTTTTTTTATTAGCTAGTAAACTAGAAAAACTACACATTCTGAACAATTATAGTTTTAAGCAGTGTATTAGTAGTCAGTATGCTACTCTCTAAGAAAAGAATTCACAGGTTTTTACCTGCATTTTAAATTACGCATTGCATTTTGTGTTTCGGGTTACGACGGATGACGGATAACGGATAGGAAAATTACTAGTACCTTTTCTAGATATTTTTCTTACAGTGTACTAACTGATCAACAATCACAGGTACAAGCTACTAACGAGGTGTATCATAAATGAACAATTCTTCAATTGTTATCATCAAATTGAACAATTGCAAACAGCAGCTAACTCAATTCACGTGATGCGTGTACTGCTAGGCGTCTTTGGTTTCCTCTTTTTGTCAATTTAGATGGAAAATGTGTGCCTTTTTATAGTTTGAGCCACTTATCAAAAGTTGCTAAAAGTAGCCAAATAAAATAAAAAAAAATAGCTAAATTTGTTGCTAGGTGCTTTTGGAAGAAAAAGTTGCTAGGGTAGTCTGAAAAGTTGCAAAAATTGCTAAATTGGCAACACTGGAATCAATACATTTGGTCCAAAGATGTGGGATTCTGAGTCCAGGCGGGCCCTGGTGCATTGTGGGATGAAATAAAATGCGGGAAGTGAGAAGCTAGTGGAAAATGCTGGTAATACTCTGGGAGAGGCTCTGCGGGAACCAATCAGAGAGGCGGTGCAGTGCGGTGGGCGGGTCTCCACGGGTTTAGTGACGCGAAGTTGGGTATGAGTTACGAGCGCAGCCGCATGGGTAACGTTAGAGTTACGACTGAAAGAGTGGCTAGTGAAGTCAAGCGTGAACACAGCGGCTCAGGAAAGCCTGCGTTAAACAGTATTCCAGAGTAAAAGC